TTCATGCACTCCAAATCAGTAGCAGTGAGTTCCTTGAGGAAGAATGCTCTCTCAGTGACCAAGTATTTTCTAAACTTCACTATCCTTGTCACTTCATTAGAGACTGCAGACACGGGGCATATAACATCTTTAACTCGTCCAAAGAAGACGCTGCCGAAAAGAGATACATAGTCCTCCCCAGCAACTTAGTTTCCAAACACATTTTCAGCATCTTTTCCAATACCTTGTTCCACATCCACTGCCACAAGAACATCACCAGCAATAGACAGGGCAAGGTTCAATCCTCTGCAGGGCTATACATAATCTTTTGCAATGATTGCAAAAGATTATGTGGGTGAAACGTCCAGAGACCTCCAAACACCTATTTCAGAACACCAGTATACAGGCAGATCAGACGATTTAAGGAATGCCTGCATTCAACACCGAAACTTCAACAACCATTTAATCAACTACAGAAACGCAAAACTTATCGCTAGAGAAGAAAATGCTCAATACCACAGATTCCTCAAATCATCACTTATTTGTATATCTAACAGTTTCAACCAGAACACTGGCTTCTATAACATAGCTGAACCCCTTGCCAAGAAACTTCTCCATCATTATTGTACATAACTACATGCATACCCGCCTGTCTCATGGAGGGTCCTTATCAGATACATCCTACCAAACATTCTCAGCGGTCCCTTTTAGGTCCATCTCAGATCTAACCTACCCAACATTATTCTCCACCTGACTCTCCGTCCTATAAATACTTGTGTACTATTCACCCAGGTAGATCTATTTGCGAGTTGATAAAGTCCATTGTGTTTATTTTTCCATCGTATCTTTATTAAAGGAAATGTTTCTCCATGAGTGGCTTCTTCAGTCCTAATACAGTAAAAAAAATTTTATTTGATTGATTCGCCAGTAACTGCGACCTGACACAGGTCTTAATCCTAAGATGACCCGTCTGAGGATCTCAGAGATGTCGATATAATTCAGCTGCTCTGTGGCCGAGATCAGGGTCTTCATGTAGTCCCTGTGCATTCCACAGCAAACTGTTTTATGTTCAACAACGGGCTGAGGCCATCAGAGCCTCTATCATTGTCTCTGGGCCCTCTGTTGTGGGTGGTCAGGTAAATTTGCCAATAAACGCATGGGTTCTGTGTTGTACATGCATATGTTAATGAAGGTCTTCACGGTAGTTCTGAATGTCTCTCTGTTTTCTTCTGAGTCTATCAAGTCGCATATGATATCGGTGAAGCACGTGATAGTCGACATCATTTGATGGCTCGGGTAATACGGGATATCCTGCAATGCTCCTTTGGGGAACAGTTCTCCTCACTGGTGACTGTTGTGGTGCTAGAGTTGATGCATTGGCTGCAGTCTGCTCCTGCAGCATGGGGCCTTATGGCTGCCGTTGTCAGGTGGGAGTTTGAGCAGGAGGATCACAAGCTGGATGAGGAGGGACTCGACCTCATCGCTGATGTTTCCTCATCTCTGTGACCGAGGAAGTGGCCCTGGATTCCGTGTTACTGTAGCCTCCCCTGGACGAGGCTGCTGCTTGGTGGTGAGGGGCTCTACTTGGAGTTGGAGGCTGAACAACTGGAGTTTCCCATGCTGCCTTGACACAGCGGAGCCTCTCTGGGCAATGCAAGTGCCAAGCGTGATGTTTCTTGCCTCAGTTCGGACATTGAGGGTCTTCAGTTTACTCAAGCAGTTCTTGGGAGAGCGAGACCCGCTACAGATGCTGCATACTTCTTTAACCCTTTGACTGTTTCCGACGTATAGATACGTCTTACGAGCCAATGTTTCTGATGTATTTATACGCATAAATTCTAGCAGCTTCAAATCAAGCAGGAGAAAGCTGGTAGGGCCACATGTGAGAGAATGGGTCTCCATGGTCAGTGTGCACCATATAAAAAAAATCGGGGAGCCAGTGGTGCATTGTGGGAATGCCATTTCAGTTGTCCTTTTTCAGCATGTCTAGCGGTAAGAAATATGTGATTCCCCAGCAAATCTGGGACTCTTCTCTTCCCAAGTGATGCTCTAACACAGATGGAAGTGTCAGTGAAGATCAATTTCATGATTTGGAGGAGTTTGAGACCAAAAGCAATGGAGGAGGAGGAGGGGGAGGAGGGGAGGAAGAGGAAGAGGAGGAGGAGGAGGGGAGGGGAGGAAGAGGAGGAGGAGGAGGAGGAGAAGAGGAGGAGGAAGAGGAAGAAGAAGAAGAAGATGTAATAATATTGTTCCCTTGAAGCAAGAAAAAAAAAGTCCACCCCATGACAGTGACAAGATAAGGGGAGATAACATCTGATAAGAGCTGACTTTGATGAGCGTAAACGAGGGTAGAGCTGATAAGGAAATATTACATGACCATCGCCCTCCCTTTGTTTTTGCTGGTACACAAACATTTCTGTCTGTCTATTTGTCTGTCTGTCAAGCTCCCTGTCTGTCCATCTAGCTCTCTGTCTCAGAGAGAGCCACAAGACTGTGTCATCACGTTTACTCACATCTTCAAGCAGAGTATAGCACTTTGTCTGGATTTCTTGGGTTATCCTAGGTAATTTACACTATGTATACTTGTATTTATGTGTACCTGTGAGACAGAGATAGGCAGACAGATAGAAAGAGAGACAGATTGAAAGATATAGAATGAGGGAGAAAGATAATTAGATAGAATGGAGGAGGGGAAGCAGTATCCGACCCCATTGTTTTGACAGGCGGGAGGGGGAGTGAGTAATGAGACAATATGTCACTTTGACAGCTGCCGACTTCTGACTCAAAACAATTATAAGCCACACACTCGCACACAAGACAAGGAGGAGGAGAAGGAGGAGGAGAAGGAGGAGGAGGAGAAGGAGGAGGAGGAGGAGGAGGAGGAGGAGGAGAAGGAGGAGGAGAAGGAGGAGGAGAAGGAGGAGGAGGAGGAGGAGGAGAAGGAGGAGGAGGAGGAGAAGGAGGAGGAGGAGAAGGAGGAGGAGGATGATTGTTTGTTTGTTTTTGTAAACAAGTTTTGTAAACAATATATTGATAATTATGTTTGTGTGCTTATTGTGTTGTATACAACGAGTGTATATATGTACATTGCACCTTACTTTGGTCTCAGAGGCCACATAAGTTATGTGAAAAAATAAAATAGTGAAAAAAACAAAAAACCTTCAATTACAAGTAAACTAAAGTTTACCGGGTGAGCGGCAGTCGCCGCTGTTGCCATACGCGGCTCATTTTCTGCAAACTTCACGGCTCTATATCTCGGTAAGTACCGATGGCAAAAATTATTTTTTTGGACTAAAACACTCAGAAAAATAATCTTAACATTTTCATAAGAAAAAATAATTTTTTTTTTTTTGAATATTTGGCGACATAGAATGACAGTTTCAGAGAGGGGCCTGAAACAGTCAAAGGGTTAAATAGACGTCAGGCGCTGTGGTGGTTGTACCTGTGGCATCTGAATCACCTCAAAGGCTCTGGGTTGTACACCCTAACCAAGTATGTTCCCCAGTAGCTGAGATCCATTTGAGTCAGGAGAGGTCCTCTGTGTTGGATCAAGATCTTCCTCGTAGGTATGTTCCTGCCCTTTTTGGCTTGGGGCCTCCCAGCTTTCATGATGTTTTTGTTACTGTGGATTGCATCGAGAGGTATGTCTAGTGGACAGTGCATATACAGGTACCATCCGACTTACGACCGAGTTCGGTTCCGACAAACTGGTCGTAAGTCGAAATGGACATAAGTCGAACCTTACTAATGAATATCAACATCACATTTTTGTAATGACTTTATTTTATTGTTTTATTTTGGTATTTCATTTTTTACTTTACTTTTTATGCTGTTAGTACTGTATTTTATACTGTAAGGTTTAGGATAACATTGTGTACAACACAAACAATTATTTATTTCCCAGAAATTTGGCATAGAAAACATGGTTGTAAGTCAGATGGTCGTATGTTGAGCAGGTCGTAAGTCGGATGGTAGGTGTATAAGCCTTTTGTCACCCGCTCTATGGATTTTAGTTCTGTGAGAGAGTGGTGACTTGAGGTCATTCACCTTATGCAGTACCTCATAGGACTACATGTTTTGGGGAGCGAGAATAAACTCTCCTGTCGGGTTTGGGGACACTGATATCTTTAGACCGTATTTTCTCTCCAAGTGATTTACAGCAGCAGAAGGGATGTTGTCCTTTGTTGATGAGTCTGAATTCGTTGCCCACAGATGTTTTAGTTCGACTAATTTGCAGGGTAACACCCTGCCTCCCCTTGGATTTCGACGATCGTACTTCCTGCCAGCTTTCACCATGCGGTATTTCTGTGGGTGGGATGGGCATTTCTTCATTCATATCTATCTCACTGGTCAGGCTGATTTCTCTTGTATCAGTTCCAAGAGCCCAGGGAGTCCAGTGAGTAGTCTTGCAGCTTCTTTGCCAGAACTGAGCTCCATAATTCCAAATTCGAATCCTCGGTTGAGTCCTTGGAAGATTGTTACCTCTTCCTTTTGCAAGTAGCCATGAACTTCCGGGTGACTGTCTCATCCAAACAGAGATAACTAAGCAACGGAGTGAAGAAGCTACTCGTGGCAAAACGTTTCCTTTAATAAATGCCCTGAACTGTACATGAGTGTCATTCTTCACGCTAGACATAATGCATATGCAGAGTATAAATTATGTCATGTAGACGAGGTCACTGAACACTTTGTCTCCTTTACACAGTTAAAAAATTCAGTCATATGGATACCTGGAGTATATCTGGAGAGGGTTTTGGGAGTGAATGCTACTGCAGCCTGGTCTGTGACCAGGCTTAAAGTTCTTGTTCTTCTCATTCTTTATTTCACATAATTTTTTTTTTTTTTTTTTTTTTTTTTTTTTACATTTGTTAAAACCTTACTGATGCAGCTAGTAATGGATATAAAGGTTAATGGTTTATCTGTTGTAAATTATGCAACTTAGTTCATTGTATATACATTTTAATCCTTCCTTTCCTTTGGTGCCATTGTGTCTTCCCATCTTCTGCCTGCCATGGTGTCAGTGGTGGGAATGGGACCAAGACTGTGGTGTCTACTCCAGCTGCTGCTGGTGGTTGGGGTGTATGGAAGCGAAATCCTTCTTCAAGTGAACTCCCCTTATAACACCCTCACTATGGACCCTCACACTATTCACTTTAGCCACGCTAAAGGTAAGATAAAAATTATGTATGTATGACTTACGACCGAGTTCGGTTCTGAGAAACCGGTCGTAAGTCGAAATGGACGTAAGTCGAACTTTACTACTGAATATCAACAAAACATTTTTGTAATGACTTTATTTTATTGTTTTATTTTGGTATTTCATGTTTTACTTTACTTTTTATGCTGTTAGTACTACTGTATTTTATACTGTAAGGTTTATTTATTTATTTATTTATTTATTTATAATTTGAGCACACTTACAGAGGTACAAAAAAAAATACAGATAAGAGCAGCATGCCAAAGCCACTTATACTATGCATAGCATTACGGGCTGGCTTAAAATTAACTTAAGATTAACTAAGCAATGATGAAATCAGTGAAAAACATTAATGTAAACTGATTACTATAAAGCACAAGTGAGTATTACAAAGACAGGTCATATGGTTGCATGCATTGTTGTAAATTCAGTAGAATGGAGTATTCTGTTAGGTAGTGAATTTAAAAAATAATAAAGTTAGATTGGTTTTAGGTTTAACCATTTATGTATATAATTGTGAGAACATTTAAGATATACAATTTATAAGGTTCAGTTATTCATATTTATTTGGTTTTGGGTGATAAGTGATCTTTGGAAGAAGACTTGAATTTATAAACAGGTAGTGTTTCTTTTATATTAACAGGTAATGAATTCCAGATTTTAGGGCCTTTTAATGTGCATTGATTTTTTTGCATAGCGTGAGATGGACACGAGGAATATCAAAGAGTGATCGTGCCTTGTGTTATGGTCATGTGTTCTGTTGAGGTTGGCAAGGAGTTTGTTTGAGGGGAGGGTTAATATCAGGTTGAGTTTTTCTATGTATGTAATGGGTGCAGTAATAAGTAGGGAAGTTTTGTATGGTGATAGGTTGAGTGTATTGATATTGGTGGAGTGTGCTGCCTGAAGTGAAATTTTGTTATCTTTCCCTAACTGCAGCCTTTGTTGGGTAATTAGTGGTCTGAGATGGTTACTTTTTTGTTGAGCCCCATGCACAAATTCCATAGGTGAATAGGGGTAAATAAGAGAGTGATATAGGGCCAGGAGGGCTGACTGTGGAGCATAGACCGATTTCGATAGTATGCCTACAGTCTTGGAAATTTCTTAGAAATTTGTTGTATATGTGTATGAAATTTGGGAGTCTATTATCAAGGTGGATTCCTAAGAATTTTCCCTCTGTTAGCTTTTGGATAGGTGATCTGTTTTATCATTATGTTAAGGGGGACATCTGTAGCTCTGTTACCAAACTGAATGAAGTAGGTTTTGTCAATGTTAGTGTAATTTGTTAGTACCACCAGGTAGATATTTTCTGTAATTCGGTATTTACAGTATTGGGCTAGCTTGACGGGCTCGGGTGGGAGAAGACGTATGTTGTGTCATCAGCAAATAGTGTGGGTTTGAGAAATTTGAGAACATTTGTAGGTCATTATGAAATAGGAGAAAGAGAAGAGGGCCAAGGACACTTCCCTGTGGGACCCCAACTGTAAGGGTTTGTGCAGAAGAGTTTGCCCCATTTGCGTACACATATTGGCTTCTGTTGCTGAGGTATGACTTGGGGTGTTGAGGGAGTCCCCTCTTATACCATAGTGTGATAATTTTACGTGGAGCAAGTCATGGTCAACTGTATCAAAAGCTTTACGTAGTCAATGAAGATCCCCAGTGGGACTTTTTTTTTTCTCTATTGCAGTTATATATGTTCTAGCATGTGTATAATAGCATCATTAGTTTTTTTATTGGGCCTGAATCCAAATTGGCAGGGGTTGAGTATTTTTTGGGAGATAAGGTAGGAGTAGATTCGTTTATGAATTAATTTTTCGAAGATTTTTGAGAGAGGGTGTAAGTTGGATTTTGGGCCTATAGTTATTCAACTCTGTTTGGTCTCCTCCTTTGTGGATCGGGGTGACCCTTGCTATTTTGAGTACTGTAGGGAAGGTGGAGGATTCAATGGATTTGTTAAAAGTGTTGCAATGTTTGGGTTTGGATAGCACTTGTGACACTTTTTTGTATATAAAGGGTGGAAAGGTATTTAAATCTCCTGCCTTGTTTTTTAAGTGCGTTGATAATAAGGGAGACTTCGAAAGGGGTTATCGGAGCTAGGAACAGTGTGTTCGGGTATTTCCCGGGTGAGTGTATCATTTGGTGGGGTATCTGAGCTTGGGATTTTAGGGCAAGGTTTGCCCCTATAGTGGAGAAGAAATCATTGAGTCTGTTTTGCTGTTTCTGTTGTGGGAGTTGGGGTTCATCTGATTTTGCTAATTTTATTTCGCTATTTCGTGATATCTTTTTGTTCCCAGAATTTCTGATAGGGTTTTTCCCGGTCCCTTTTTTTTATCACCTCGTAAGTTGGATAATCGGTTCTCATAATACAATTTTTTTGCCCTTCTTATCAGGGTGGTTAGGATTGACGAGTTTAAAGTTTTGTTTGGTCTCTGGTTATGTGACCCATTCTGTTACTGTTTTTCATATTGGTGTTTTGTATTTATGGATTTGAGAATGCTGGGTGTTAGCCAGGGACTGTTCAGTCTCTTAGCTGTCATCTGCTTAGTTTTTTTAGGGCAGTGTTTGTTATAGAGGTATTGATCTTTTTTAGAAAATTATTAATACATTTGTCAAAATCTGTATTTATTTCTAGCTCAGTGTGGGCCCAAACAAGTTTTGCTAATGCTGTTGTGAAGTTATAATGGCTGCCTCATTTGTGAGTCTGAAGGTGACTTTAGTAGTGTCTTGGGGTAATTTACCAAGAGTTGTTATGAGGAAAGTAGGGTAGTGGTCTGGGGGTATATCTGTAATTATGCCTGATTTTAAAGGGGATATGGTGTTTGGGCCAATGTGGTCAAGTAGGGAAACACTAGTCTCTGTAACTCTTGTAGTTTTGTTACTGTTGGTAGCAACATACAGTTACTCATTGTGTTTGTGAATTCAGTAACGTGTGGGTCCTGGTCTTGCAGGGGATTTATATTGAAGTCACCTGAGAGTAGTAAGTGATCTTTGTTCATGCGTGCATCAGTTATCATACTTCCTAGGTTTTGACTAAATTGGCTAATGTTTGACTGTGGAACTCTGTAGATGTTTTTCAATGTGAGAGGTTTTTGTAGGTATTTGGGTTTGAATTTTGGGTATTATATATTCCCCATGTTCATCTCTTGTGCAAGTATTAGTGATACATTCTAGTTGGTCTGAGTAGTATATGGCTGTGCCACCCCTTTTGGTCTGGCCTACAGTTGTGTATGGCTGTGTAACCAGGAATGGTATAGACAAACTGTAGTATCAGGCTTTAGCCAGGTTTCAGTTAGTGTAATGATGGACATATTGGCATGTAAGGAATTTAGTAATGCTATGAGGTCATCGTAATGCTTGCTTAAAGATCTGATATTGTATTAAAGATAGTTATGTTGTTGTTGGCACTGAGAAGTGCCTTTGATTTTTCTGCAGTGTAGTAAATTACAGTAACTGTTTGATTCATTTAAGTCATTAAATAAGAGGTTGGTATCTGGACAATGCTTGTAATCATAAGATTTGTAGTGAATCTATAGTTAGAATTAAGTATAAAACAAAGTAAATAGTCTTAAGCTAAAAAATAGCACCTGAATTATTTAACAAATGTAAAATAATGGGCTAAGGTATTTTTTTTTTTTTTTTTTTTTTTTTAAGCTAAAATAAAGGGGACAATATAAAAAGGGACTAGTACAAATAAAGTGATGATCAAATAATGGAGCTTGGGAATAGGATAAACACTGTGTACAACACAAATAGTTGTTTATTTCCTAGAAATTTGGCATAAAAAAACACGGTCGTATGTAAAGTGGTCGTAAGTCGAGCAGGTCTTAAGTCGGATGGTAGGTGTATATATATATATATTTTTTTTTTTCAGCAAACCGGCCGTATCCCACCGAGGTAGGGTGGCCCAAAAAGAAAAACAAAAGTTTCTCTTTAAATTTAGTAATTTATACGGGGGCATGAATGAGGCAGCTTTTTTCAGTGTTCACTCTCTGTGCTTTGTGTAGTATAACAGGAGAGACTATGTGATGGCAGGGTTTACTGTTTTCAGGAGGATTCTTGCTAAGACTTCGGAGATGGTGAAGCTGCCGTTGTTTTGTTTAATTGTATTCAAAACAGCGATCAGTGCTGATTCGAGGCACTTGCGTCTGCGGAAATTAGTGCCTCGAATCAGCACTGATCGCTGTTTCGAATACAATTAAAACAAAACAACGGCAGCTTCACCATCTCCGAAGTCTTAGCAAGAATCCTCCTGAAAACAGTAAACCCTGCCATCACATAGTCCCCTCCTGTTATACTACACAAAGCACAGAAGTGAACACTGAAAAAAGCTGCCTCATTCCAGTTTATATTTGTCCCCAAACCCATTTTTAAAGTTAACCCAAGTAATAGCTTTTATATCCTTTTACTCATGTACGAATTAATTGCTCTACCATATTGTATTACTTTTGTCACTACCACTACTACTACTACTACTACCACTAGTGAACATCGAAATGGTACCTCACTAGTATTCACCTCACTCTGAGCCTTTATATACCCTCTGTGTCCATGTATTGTTTGTAATGGCTTGATAAAGCTCCTGGAGAGGGAAACGTTGTCACAATAAATGTCACATTAGTTGCACTTGTGTCCTTTTACTTTACATAGTATAGACTTAGTGATTTTCGACGTTGTACTGAGGTTGTGTGTCGCATAGACACTCTAAACAACTCAGGTCCTGAGCTGTAGCTTCTGACCTAATTTGTACTGGTATCTGTGTATTATCACAGTCGGGGATTTTCTTATGCTGAACTTAGATTCAGTAGTATGGGAGTTTTGTGACTTTTGTGGAGGATCTGCAGATGGTCCCTACTTAGTGACATTATATTATCTCCTTGTTCCTGATTGTGTCGCAGTTGCATGTTATATTGTTGTTGGGCTTAGCATTCTTTTTATTGTTCAAGCAGACTGTTCTGATTGCTAGTTGGTCAAGAAGTTAGTTTATTTGAGGACTTTGTCA